TTTGTTTTACATTGAATATGTGATACTTGCCTTCTATGTACACAGTAAACAGCCAAAGTATCAATCGCAGCTATCAATCTAAATCAATCAATCTAAAGACCTACCAAAACACACGCATCAACCAAGTCAGGGAGCTTCTCCACCCGATCCCGTTAGTCGCCTCTTACGACAAGCATGGGTTGCTGAAGACCTATTCTAATCCGGATCTTCACGGGTCTATCAACAGACAGAACATGACAAAATCATTTACCTGCATGCGTACATCAGTAAAAGGGAGATGAAGACGTACATCATTTTGCTACGTTTACACTGCTCGAAACTCACTTGCTGCACCGCTTCTTATTTCGGTTATGCTGTTGTGCTCAGCCCTAGATCTTCAGATCAGCGATCCAAGAACTTTGTCTTTTGATCATTTGTGCTGTCGTAATTCGGGTGTTGCATGTAAATGACATATTGTAGAACTGATTATGATAAGCTTGTGCAACTACAAAGTGTATTGACGACGTTGTCACATAGAGTACATTAATCGACTCAGAGTCGCCCTAGACAAACACAGGTCTAATACCCTTATATAAAATGATGTCAACATGTATGTTCCTATGATCATGTTCATGCGCGAGGCATTTGTTGTTTTGGATCAAAGGCAGGCTGTGGTATGAAAAAGTGTTCTGTTATAATATTAATGTCATTGGATAAACATTAATGTCAGCAGTCTTATTATGTCGTGCTTCTAGCATACATATATTTCTTATGTTATAAATCTTATGGTGTTTGTTTTTAAACATACATAAATCTACATGTAAATGTAAAATTTTAACGTTTTGATAACTGAGAGAATGAGCAAAGTCTGTTCAATCGAAATAACTTTGTGTAGTTAAAGGTAATTTAAAAGGTTTGTAAACATGTAGGCACAAGATGTTTTATGTTCCAATATTCATATTGGTGGAGCTTTATATCATGTTTTCGATATGCTAAAATGTTTAACACTTCTAATTGGAATAATATAATATATAGCTTTGGTGGTTTGATGACATGTTGCAATCTATGAAACACCATTCGCGCCTTACAGATGACAATTTGCTAATCTAATGCGACAAATACAAAAGCTTACTCACTACTTGCTATCGGTAAAAGACGGCTAACAAAGATGCAGCAGTTACATAACTACACTGTTGTAGGGTTAATTTCCACACTCGTTATCTAAATCTTTTTGAGGTGTAGAAACATGTATTCGTATCAGTTTGCTTGAGTTTGCTGCTCGACATCATGGTCATTATGTTTTCACACATGGTGAAGTCGAGTTCCATTGGACCATACAGCGGATTTGCTCATAAACAGTCCATGTAGTGAACAGCTGGTCTATGTTCCACGCTGGAAACAAGGCGTCCAACACACTATTGCTTGCTTTGAGAGGCAACAACGTGGGATCGGGTGGTAAGGCTCAGTGGCTAGGTTGATCTCGTGTCATCATTCCCAGACGGTGTGGGACTTTGTAAGTAGGGCAGCGGCGTATTTAAAATATTGTAAGTGTTTAGACAGACATATCGAACTCAGAAGTCCATGTTCAACTAACAGTTGCTGACTTAATTAGCCATGCAGCACTTGAATACTTTTCGGCACATGTTTTACAAAATGGCGGCACGACAATACTGACAAATTACCTTTAAAAACGCCAAAACAGTCAATTGAAAATATTGTGCGAGTTATGGGCCTGACAACACGAACGAGTCGAATCTTTTCCTTGCCGCTGTATTCTAAACTTTGCAACATTTGCATGGGCTGGAGAACTGATAGGCTCTAAACTATACCCTCCACCACTTTGTTTTCATGATGACACGATGTGCTGTGCTTGACAACTTGGTATGTACAATTGAAAGGGCTTCTCAATGTGAAGCCGGAAATCTGACTGACCTTTTTATTGTAAGGGAGCTTCTAATTGTAAATGATTTGCCGGAAATGGTCACAGCTTTTTTTTAATATGTAATTTGGTTTGAGATATTGCCTTGAAAACTGAAAGTTTAACTCACTAACTCTCTCAGAAAAAGAAGTAAAAATGCGCAAGTTTGTGACAGCTTCACTTCATGATTTGAATGTCAGCATTTGATGATTTATGCATTTTACAATGTTTAGCTTTGGCATCCATCTTCTAGTCATCGCTTTGATCTGCAACATGTGATGACGATGTGAAAGAGGCAGGTGTTGAATAATTTATCATTTTCAGAAAATGTAACAACATAAGGAATTATGTCATCCAATGTTTTTGTATTCAGATTTCTTTAGTCGGTTCACTTTTTTTATGCACCTGTGACTTGATATAGTGTCACATGTTTGCGATATGACTTCCATTTTTCTGCCGTTTACCTTAGTTATGATAATATACATATAATATACATTGATTGGGGAGGTAATATGAACGGTTAACATAGAATTGTGACGCTAGCTTTGATATGTGCATCCAGGTAACAATTATTCATTTCAAGGGCTGAACATAAATGGTAAATAATTGTGTTACTTTGACACGTGACAAGACCGTGACACATTCGTCACCACTCGCCCCTTTCCGTAACCTGCAAGAAGACCCGTCCCCCTATCGATGAATGTTACGTGCGAAAATACATCAAACCAATCAGAATGCACATATGATTTCAAATTCTCCCTCAGAATCCCTCAGATATAGTTTTTGATTTTACATATGTTTTGCATCTAAAAGTATACCCAAGATTCAGTTAAATGAGTTCAATCATACTGTATAATTCCCCATGTACATATATGCTTATGAAATACATATAATATACGGATATAAATGTGAACCATTACACAACCAGTTGACAGTTGTTTTAGGTATGCCCGTTTACGCTAAGACGGAACCTGGTCGCAAAAACGGCCACGTGAGGGGCAAGGGTCGCTATTCGGCTTGTCCAAAAATACACGAGTTGGTCACGAATGGACAGTGACAGTGAAGGGAAAAGCGTGCTGAGATATGCATTGTAAATGCGTGTGCTGTGTGTAATAGCGAGTTGCTTCCCTTTGACCAGCAGAGTCAATTTGTCTGATTGTTTCATGTGATATGATACTCTCACTGTGTGTGGAAAGTGGGTACACGGGATGAACTCACAGACATTAACACACATACATACACACTCACACGCACACATACACACACACACACATCACGTCACAGTGTTAATGTGCGCCAGTCTCCCAACCATGTCAGTGGCATTGTGTTGTATATTTTAAAACATGTCAATTTTACAGACAACGGAGATTATCAATTGAACCGATGTGACAGTGTGTGATGTGCGTATCTCCCTCAGGCCAGATTTGAAAGGGTATGACGTGCGATCGTCGGTCATATACACCAGATTTGACAGGGTGTGATGTGCGTATCTCCTTCAAACAGATCAGAATTTTCAGGGTGTGATGTGCGTGTCTCACTCATACAGAACCGATGTGACAGTGTGTGACGTGCGTATCTCCCTCATACAGACCAGATGTGACAGTGTGTGACGTGCGTATCTCCCTCATACAGAACCGAAGTGACAGTGTGTGACTTGCGTATCTCTCTCAGGCCAGATTTTAAAGGGTATGACGTGCGATCGTCGCTCATATAGACCAGATTGGACAGGGTGTGATGTGCGTGTCTCCCTCATACAGAACCGATGTGACAGTGTGTGACGTGCGTATCTCCCTCATGCCAGATTTTAAAGGGTATGACGTGCGATCGTCGCTCATATAGACCAGATTTGACAGGGTGTAATGTGCGTGTCTCCCTCATACAGAACCGATGTGACAGTGTGTGACGTGCGTATCTCCCTCATACAGGCCAGATGTGACAGGGTGTGACGTGCGTGTCTCCCTCATACAGAACCGATGTGACAGTGTGTGATGTGAGTATCTCCCTCAGGACAGATTTTAAAGGGTATGACGTGCGATCGTCGCTCATATAGACCAGATTTGACAGGGTGTGATGTGCGTATCTCCTTCAAACAGATCAGAATTTACAGTGTGTAATGTGCGTGTCTCCCTCATACAGAACCGATGTGAAAGGGTGTGACGTGCGTATCTCACTCAAACATGGCAGATTTGACAGGGTGTGAGGTGCGTATGTCCCTCATACAGAAGTGATGTCACAGGGTGTGATGTGCGTATCTCCCTCATACAGGCCAGATGTGACAGGGTGTGATGTGCTTATCTCCCTCATACAGACCAGATGTGACAGGGTGTGATGTGCGTATCTCCCTCATACAGAACCGATGTAAATGGGTGTGATGTGCGTATTTTCCTCATACAGAACAGATGTGATAGGGTGTGATGTGGGTATTTCTTCGATGAAAATCAGGTAACAGGGTGTGACCTCCTTCATAGAGACCAGTTGTGACAGGGTGTGATGTGCGTATCCCTCTCATACAGACCAGTTGTGACAGGGATTGACGTGCGTACCTCCCTCAAACAGACCAGATGTCACACGGTGTGGTGAGCGTATCTCCTTCATAGAGATCAGATGTGACAGGGGGTGACGTGCGTATCTACCCAATGCTGATCAAAGTTGTTCTGGCGTGATATGTTTGTTTTATTTATACAGTAGTATTGATTGTTGTTTCCCGACAGAGGCACAGCAATATTCCAAAGTGGTCGCTGAAGTCTGGGAAACGAGCGAGTGAAAATGTACTCCTACAAATCAGAGGTTATAACCCATGATATACGTGTCTAAATTGTACACACCAAATGTAACAGTGTGATATACGTGTCCTATCGATACAGACCAAGTGTGACAGGGTTCGATAATGCATGTATATATCTCCATCATGAAACAAAACATGAAATAATTCAACCCACTATGTTTAACATAGTGAATAACTCTTTGAGATATATTGATGCAAGGCGTTGGCATATCCAGTCTACTCTCACGGCCACGAATACGGTGGACCTGTAACACTGCACACCTCAACTTCAAATCTGAACCTGTTGATAAGGTGCCGTTATAGCAAACTGACGCCTTGTTAATGATTTGAAACATTTATTTTATCCCGTACATGAACTGTAAATACAGTGAGGTAAAAAAAGACATTTATCTTTGTACAAGAAATTATCACAGACAGCTCTGAATGATGTACACTTCCAGAGACACTCCGATATAAGCCCCTTGATATGGCCCTGAATAGTTCTCCAAACTCAAAGCAGCGTGTCAGATCTAGCTCTAAGAATCTCCACTATAGCGCCATGTTTGTTTCTCAGTGCAGGCTGCAATGGCGTTTCACCTCTGTTGTTTGTGGCAGATACTTCTACAGCTGACTCTGAGAGAACTCGGTTTACAATTCCTACTGTCCCCGTGAATGCAGCAAGGTGTAGGATGTTGTTACCTTCATTATCCATTACTGACAGGTTACATCCTTTACCCACCAGGAGATCGAACACCTGTTGTTTACCCTGCCCTGCTGCAAACATCACCGGTGTTCTCCCTACCAAACTTGGGCTCTCTATGTCAGCTATCTTGTGTGTGATGAGATGCTCGACAATGTGCACATTGCCACTAAAAGAGGCAAGGTGAAGGATGTTGTTACCTTTATCATCCACTGCTGACAGGTTACATCTTTTACCCACCAGGAGATCAAACACCTGCTGTTTCCCCTTCTCTGCTGCAAACAGCACCGGTGTTCTCCCTACCTGGCCTTGGCTCTCTATGTCAGCTATATTGTGTTTGATGAGATACTCGACAATGTACACATTGTCACTAAAACAGGCAAGGTGAAGGATGTTGTTACCTGTATCATCCACTGCTGACAGGTTACATCCTTTACCCACCAGGAGATCGAACACCTGCTGTTTACCCATCTCGGCTGCAAACAGCACCGGTGTTCTCCCTACCTGGCCTCGGCTCTCTATGTCAGCTATCTTGTGTGTGATGAGATACTCGACAATGTACACATTGTCACTAAAACAGGCAAGATGAAGGATGTTGTTACCTTTATCATCCACTGCTGACAGGTTATATCCTTTACACACCAGGAGATCGAACACCTGCTTTTGACCCATCTCGGCTGCAAACAGCACCGGTGTTCTCCCTACCTGGCCTCGGCTCTCTATGTCAGCTATATTGTGTTTGATGAGATAATTGACAATGTGCACATTGCCACCAAAACAGGCAAAGTGAAGGATGTTGTTACCTTTATCATCCACTGCTGACAGGTTACATCCTTTACCCACCAGGAGATCGAATACGTTTTTATTGCCCATAGCCGCCGCCTTCATCACAGCTGTTCTGCCATACATGCCTATACTGTTAATACTGACAACTGCTGTAAGATATTCTATGATATCAGTATTGCCACTTAAACATGCCACATGAAGGATATTGTTGCCGTTGTCTAACAGTGCTGAGGTATTGCACCCCTTCCTCACCAACACATCAAATATGTCTTTTTGACCTGTACTGGCTGCAAGAAGCAAAGGTGTCCAGCCACCCTGGGATTTGTTATTTATATCTACAGAACCAGTTGACAAAATGTTCTTTACTATCTCTAACTTTCCCTCCCGACAAGCTTCATACAGCATGTGGTTCCTGTCATAGTAGATCAGCTTCATGTTGCCCTCTTGTATCTCCCACATGGACGTTAGGTGAGGCATCTTCCCTGGAAATTGTCAAGTGCATTTGAAATAGAATGTTTGTAAATGTCCCTTTCTGACTTAAGAATCTAAGGGCTGACATACATTGTCAACGCATAAGCATCGTTACTCAACGGTTGAGAATGTTTGTTAAGATGGGCTCCAGAAAATATTCTTATTATCAATCACAAGAAAAAGGGGATATGTTTCCTCGGAAACAGAATACTGCTGAACTGACAAAAAATACAGTTTAATTTTGCGTCTGATACTTTGTTTCAGTTGACTAAGAGTTTCCTATAATCGGATTGGTCGAATGGACAGAGGCAAACTGACGGCTATCGGTCGTTCTTATTACTTCTTGATTTATGAATATCTTAGACAAACTGGATATGCTAAAACATTTTCTTTGGAAATAACTATATAAGCGGCTGAAATTAATTTCATATGTTTTATCAGTCACGCGAAACATTTATCCGTGGACATACTATACTAATAAGTTTGTAGATACTTGTAAACACAGGGGTCCATTAGACCATTTGTAATGATAATTGAATGATGTCATTTGTATCTAGTTGTAATCGTCAAATAATTTATAATTTAGGAGACACAAATAAACGACCATAACATTTTGTAAGTATAGCACCCTAGCATCTGGTAGTTCCAATGCATGAAAAACACATGTCAGTGTTCATGCCAAGTCAATCTTGTCATCACAGCGTCATATCAGCATGTGAGTTCAAAATCAACCCACTATTAAATTGAACAAAATATAAGACTATGCCTTTATAATAATTCATTAGGGTGAACTTGGCAATGTGTATGCAAACACTTGTAACATCTACATACAAGTGATTTCGACCCCAAAGGGTAAACTAAGCAGTAAAGCTGCTAACTCTCTCTACAACATGTTCATATATCCTTATTCTTCTCCTGAGAGGAAACTAAGCAATATATGTTTCCTATCTATGTAAGTTAATATTTAATCTTCCTGCGACAACATGCACGACATATCAGCTCATGAAAAGGAACTGCGAACTGGACATGCAAATACAGTTCAATGTATTAATCACTTCCATGACATGCTATCGGAAAAAAAGAGTCTTGATTTGTTAAGGAATAATATATGTAGCTGTAAATCCCACCTTCTGTGTCCAACCTGTGTCCACCTTCTGAAACTGCGTCTGAAACCGACTCTGTATCGTCATCAGCTGAATCTGAAAACAAACATCAAACTGTTTGAAAATAACTATATTTAAGCTACAAATACATGCACACAAAAACACCGGTGTTTATGGCTGTGTATTCCGTTCACGATCCTCATCAGCAATCAAGACACAAGCAAAATAGAACAACAACGTCAACTAGTGTCCTAAAGTACTGTGTAAGAAATGTATCTTTCCGTATTGCTTAAACTTAGAGAAGTGGCGTTGGATTCTGGAATAGTTTAGATGTATGATGGAAAACCATTTGTTATCCCCTCACGTAGAATGTTACGGCATGACAAGAAAGATGCACTTATGATTCTGTATTTAAAATCGCTTCGTTCTGTGACGTTACTATTATTTGTCTGTACGTGACGACCGCCTCCGTTGTCCAGTGGTAGAGCGTACGCCCGGAGAGCGGAAGGTCCGGGTTTCGATCCCCGGCCGCGTGATACTAAACATGTTAGATAGATGGTACTTGTTGTTACCCTGTCTGACGCTTAAACAAGGACTGGTCGGTATACTGTGGCTGAATGGGGTATTCAAGTTAAACTGCGGCATGGTATATCAGTGGGCTAGCACTATAAATCGGCATCAGTCCGGACAAGTACAAGCAGCCACACACACACACACGTGCATGTACGTCTCTATATAAGATCAATTATCTTGGATGCTTCATAAATGTGTGGTGACAAAAAAAATACCATTGACATAACAGCTGAATTTCTGAGAGAAAATGTTCAATATCGTATTTAAAACAGACATATAACTGGTTGTTTAAAATGTATTAAAGCTTATAGTTTAAACCCACAAGAGTGCATTAACTTGACACCAGTGCATGGTTGAGTGGTTGAGTGACACGGTCAGAGACAATTATAGTTTTTGTCCAGAGTATGGAATGTATGTTATCTATTCCATCAGCGCATGTCATACTGACACCAAACGGTCACACATCGATTAACATTACGTGCATATGATGGTTAAACTGGGGACACATGAATAACAACAGAAGAAAATGTTTCATTTTGGGTAACATTGTGCCATGTATGAGGATGTGTTTTCTTTGTTCGTTGCAAGGACATACACTCTGCAATGTGATATCTGCAATTTCAGGGCGTGGATTTAAATAGAAATTAAGATGCGTGTCCTCATCAATGGTAGCCCAACCCAACGTCAAAATAGCTGGCATATACACTCACAGTGTCCGCTGGCGTCAGATCGCATCCAAGGCAACATCCTGGTTTCTGAAAAACAGATAACTTGACCTGATTATGCACCACGCAAGTTGTTTTTATCAGGGTCATTCAATCGTACTGTTTGTCAGTTACTGAAGGAACAGAGTGAATACAAACACAAGCGTGTGTACCTGCTTCTGCATCTTTCTCGAGCTTCAACACTCTTCGCTCCAAGTCTGTTATCCTTTGCTGCATGGCATCAAGACGTTCACGAAGCTGAAACAAATTTTAGATAAACTTACAAATGTGTAAGTAAATGATATTCCACATCATATTTTTTCAAAACTAAAAACAGTATATACATGCTGTAACTTATTCAAAATCTAACAAAGAACTTAATGTTACTTTGTAATAATATAATATATAATATCCATAGTACATAAGACATAGCATACAAATATTGAACACACTATCAACAGTCGTTAGGGAAAACATACCTTCAGTCCAGTCTCACAGTCTATGTGAAGATCTTCAAGTTCTAGAAAAATGAACGAGACCAAAAATAATACTTGTACTTCAACACTTGAGATAATACAGATATTCACTTTTGGTAAATCTATATTCAAACATGTAATTATATCCTTGGAAAAAATTTACCTGATTCAACTGGATTTGTTGATTGATTTGTTTTTCGCATTTCAACATTTATTTCGATATCTTTGACACTGGTAATTATTGTGTGAATAAATCCCAGAAGCAGAGGCTTGACTTATGTTTGGTCCCTCATCATCCTCAGAGCGTCTTCTTCAGTTTCGTGCATAAATACAAATATCAAACTTCCGTCTTCCACACTTTCCAAGTCAGCATTTTAGGTGCGTCTGACCCAGTTCATCAGGTTGTTGAGTGGTGTGACTACTTTATCTCTTGTTAACAGTAACACTATCCCCCCAACCGCAGAACACCTCCAGGTCGTCTTTCGTGTGTGTTTGTATTGAAAAGTCGTAGTAGTATTTTCGTTAAACAGTTTCAATTATTTCTCCGCCTTTCATCCCCGTAACGGAAAATGAAGTATAATTGTTCATATATTTCACATACTAAGTAACATCAACTTCGTCCTGTTAATCATGATTGTGTGTACAGGTATCGGTACGCTGATGAACTAAGACTCTGTTGTTGGTGTTGTTGTTGTTGTTGTTGTTGTTGTTATTGTTCCCATATTAAAAGGTCACTTGTGATGTAAATAACTTCAATAAATGATTCTGCATATTAACTTTAATCACGTTGTGCAGCCCTGTGACTATACCAGGGTGACTATGCATGCTCCACCATCCCAAATTCTCCCTTTTGTTATCTGTTTAACATGCCTACCTTTTTCTTCCAATAAATTCGGCACTAAATGTCCACGATCAGCCTCATAACGATCGTGTGGCCCCTTATCTGCAATATACGATTATCCATGTCAGTTTTTTGTACCTTTAACGTGTACTATAACCTATAACCGCAACCCATAACATTATTATATACATCAATGTAAAAGACTGAGCATTCTGAATTTGAGAAACGTGATATTTTCATTGCAGTGAACATAACACTTGATATTTCACTGCATTGATCATAACACTTTCACGGAACTATTGTCATTCCCTTAAATTATCTCACTTTATCGCCAGTGTCTGGCCCGTATACAAACTTTTGATGTCCCTTTTCTACGAGTTCCATATTGACAAGGCAAAATAATGAAAGATGGTTATTTATGGAGTTAATATCACTGCTTGCCGTTTGCTATTTTCTCGAAAACGTTTCGGTATGAACTGTAGATTTCTCATTTCTGTTACCCAACCAGCGTGTATTCCTTTGCTTCCAACAGCGTTCTCCTAGTTTTCAAGAATATGTTTTTTTATGGCTGATTTTGTACATAATCATGTCGAAATGTATGATAAAGAATTTTCGTGACCTTAAATACGCCACTCGTGAAAATATCTCCCTTCCCCTCATCACTCCATGAGAGAAACATGGTATTTCACTCGACACATGAAATATCCTCCAATTACACAACAAATTAAAGTTTCCTTCCTTGTAACTTGAAATGTACTTTTTCTAATCCTTCTCTGTATTCGATCATATATGCACTACGTGTCTTGGTATGTGCAATCGGCATGAAACGTAGTGTGGTGTAGTGTCACGCCTATTTGTGTAGCATACACATCACGATAACTATTCCAATCCTACCTGGCCGGGAGGAACTGTTGTGGATGTTGACGTTGACATCTCCAGTATACGTACTGACGCTACCTTGTACTGAGAAGAAGAGTAGACTTTTCAAAATTTCAGTAACAATCAAATTATAATTAAAATAACGCAATATAAGAGTGGACATGAATAATACTATATAGTTTGACAGGTTTGAAATGTGTACGTTCTTACCTCGTTAATGTACAGTATCTGAATGTCTTCTGCATCTGATTACACATGATTTCAATGATATACATGATTTTCCATTGGTAGTGGAAATTAAGTACTGTCATGTGAGTTAATTAGGTAACATCATGGTTTGCATGGGTCACGCGATCCAAGAACATGAGACTAGAAATGAACACAACTGCCAATAGAAATGGTAAATATTGTCAACATATTTCTCCTACCTGAAACATGTTATCGATTACTCTATGTATATGAAGCATAAATTTAACGTTTTCAAAGGGTCTGTATGTAGAGAAATATCCATCAATATTGATATCACTCGTCATTTCAACACAACAATTTTTAATGAGAATTTTATCTTTTCATAAGACGTCTGGCCCGAAAGCTGGAGGTTGTGGTTCTAAATACCCTGACCACCTCCGTGGTGTTGTGGAAAGAGCGTCTGCCGAGAGAGCGGAAGCTCGGTGCTTCGATCCCCTTGCCGTGTCATACTAAAACACGTTAAACGATGGTACTTGTTGTTTCCCTGCCCCGAGCTCGGCATAAAGGGGATAAAACAAAGGGCTGGTCGACTCAAAGTCAGTATACAGTATCTGAGTGGTGTATCCATGTTAAACTGCGGCATGGTATCTCAGCGGGCTAGCACTATGAAACCAGTATATATTAGTACGGACTAGTACAAAACCAGTATATATTAGTACAATCAGCCACACATGCACAGATATGTATGCACGCTGCAACAAATGTTAACAGTTTCGCTTAAAACTTACAACGGCGACCACAGACTGATGTAACGTAATGACGAGACACTATGAACACATGCATCACCTTGACCTCCGGAAAACTTCTGTCCTATTGCCTCAAGCTTTTTAACCTTGCTTTCACCTGTAGCGCCAGTAACAGAGACAGCTGTTGATTCTGTAAAATAGGTCTTTCAATCTCAACTGGCTGTCATATTGAAGTATCAGTAGTTAGACATAAACACATTCGACAATTTTTAATTTTTACACAACTGTGGACAAATATCAGGGTATCACACGTTCGAATTGCACAGAATTGTATCAGCAAATATCATAAAAAGTATATGGTATTGTTCCATGCCGTCATCGGAATATCGTTAATGATAGTTCTTACATACAAGGAGACGGAGTGAGTGCCGCTCTTAACAATATTCCAGTTATATCACATGTACAGTGTATCAGGGGAGTGATGCAAATTTCAAACGTTGACCGCCTTGGTGAAACCCACAAGCACGGTTTGGGTGCTGACAAACCTGGAAACATAATTCGGACCTACAATCATAAGTTTCTAGCCCACGCGAATTGCACAGCGAATTGCGGCTCCTTAGACGACAGGGTCACCCGTGCCGAGGAAAGGAGATGGAAATGCATGCAGATATATAAATAATCATGATAACAATAACCATACAAACAAAGTATCATAAGATTAGTATGAGTAGATTACCTGCTACAGGATTGTGAGCTTTTTTAGGTGAGGGAGCATCATGTCTTTTTCCTCTTCTGTCCGGAGGGACGTGTGTTGGGCTGTTCTTCTTCATAACTTCCTAAAGGGGACTTTTGCAGATGGACGTTCTGAAGACAAAACATTTACTTACTTGTACAACACTTGGGTGATATTGCATATAAGAGATATTTCAAACTAGAAATTGTCAAGGATTATTTTCGACTTATCCTCTTATTGGCGCGGCCCATGCAGAATAACAGCGAGGGCAGTCAATTCAGGTCTGAGATAGCATGTCGCACCATACCAACAAACACATACCGATCGTCCTTGCGTTATCCCCTGTACCGGTTATTGGTATGACGCGGCCACTGAAACCGGTTTACTGCACACATACAGTCAAAGAAAGCCCCACCCTGACTATAAATAGCCCACAAGGTGGCAGTCATAAGAAAGTTAAGATTAACTGGGTCGATATTGTTCAAGGTTGTATATACATGACTTGGGTGGCGTGTTGAAGGCCCATAAAGTGTCATATTAGCAAGACACCATGTACACATGTACTTGGTTGGACACTTTTCAACATATAGATCTATTTTCATCTGACATTTGATTATGTTGGTTGGTTGGTTGGTTGGTTGTTTTACGCCGCACTCAGCAATATTCAAGCTTTATGACGGGTCGACATTTTATTATGACAAACAGTTAAGTACTTCTCCGGCCGAGTTTTCCCTTGAAATTGGCTTGTAACGTAACCTGTCTTCTTTTGTAACAAATCACCTGGAAATTAGTGTCATGTCAAAATAAACAATATAAATACATGACAATCTTCAACTTACGGTTATCCATATAATCCCATAGTGAACACATGAGTGGTAGATCCAAGTTAGAAGACGATGTAGCCACTATATTGTCAATAACCATCGTTTGTGTCACCTAATGTTGCTGTGACTCTCATAGCCACGTACCTGCATCGCCGCCATTGCCACCACCCCTACTCATATGACGGGTTTCAAGAGAGGACGACCTGACCCAGAGTACACCACGCAATCTAACACCACGAAATACGTCCTTGTCGAGGCAGAGAGTGTGACGACTGTCACCACCCAGTAGTAATATTGTAAGCAGGAGATATACCAAGAATTGACAACAGTTGAATCACGTTGGGTTTTCCACCTATACCAAGTTTTTATGTCATAACATGACCGAACTACTGTTCAAAGAGAAAATAAAGCTCTAACTCACTCAAACACACACACATAATCGTACAGGGTACTGTGGTGGTATACCCTATACTTGGGAAAACAGTTTCACATTGCTGATCCCCACAGATTATTAGTTGCAGTCACCTAAAATGAGTTGATGGGATTATTGTTTTGCTGAATATAGAATGAACATATAGCATCACTTCCCGTGTTCAGATATAGTTAAAGTCATATCTAATGCAAAAAGGAATATTTATGAAGATGTTATTCCTAATGACAACTTTGATCAGGTTGTTTTTATTACTCTAGATGCAATGGTGTGACAATAGAGTGACAGGCTGCGCCCTGTTCCACAATGCAATCGTAGTGCTAAGATAATAACAATTAACATAGACTTACGAAATCTTAGCGCTACTATCGCTTTGTGGAACGGAGCCCTGGATATTACATATCATCACAAAGTTATAGCTTATTGTGCAAGGAAGAGTGACTGGGCAGTACTATCAGGACAAGACACTGAGACCCTTTATTACCCCGTTTCAAAGGCGTGGTGGTCGATATTTTGCCTTTCGAGAGGACAAAGCCAACGTTCACTGTGTACGAATCATCAGTGCTCACCTCCTGCAGCACATACATAGAATGCCATGGCCTTTCCCCGATTGAATACGTCTGGGACATGATAGGGAGACGTGTGCATCAAAGTCATAGGCCGGCGATCACTTTGGCTGAACATGTCCAGGCGATCGCACGGAGAGTGAGACTGCAGACTCCTTCAAATCGCCACTCACACGCAGTATGCCTGTGAAAGTAAATTAATATTTGACAAATTGTGGTGGTATTACAAACTTCTGATCCATAAACTTCAACTGGGAAACTTTCAACTTTCCCATCTTACCCCTTAATTTGAAGACATGTTAAGCTTGAACAGGCAGCTGGAGAAAACAAATGTAAGACATGTCACGTGCTGTCCGAGCACGTGAAAAACGAGGTAAATCAGACTTGAGTTGAGTTCAGTTTGGTTTGATATCTCGGCTCGATAGGAGTGAGTGAGTGAGTGAGTATGGTTTTAAGCCGCTTTTAGCAATATTCCAGCAACATCACGGCGGGGGACACCAGAAATGGGCTTCACCCATTGTACCAATGTCGGGAATCGAACCCGGTTTTCAGCGTGACGGGCTAACGTTTTAACCACTTGGCTACCAGACCGCCCGGGCTCGATAGGACCTACATTGGTGAGATTGGCATATGTCGTCGCGATAGTAAGTACATCAACAATTTCGTTCTATAGCTCGTCAAGATAGGACGTTGTAGGATGTGATAGTTCAGATAGGCTGTCGCAATAGGACGCAACAATGCTAGCCAAAATAGGGCTAGACTGATAGATCGATAGCAATAGATTTTGAGAATCAGTTAATTATGTCACATTTACATTTCTTCATCTTTTTAAGAAGCGATTCATGTTTAGTTCCCCGAATTTATTATCTGAAATATTCAAGAGAGTCACGTTTAGCTCCACGCAGTATGTGAAACACCCCTGTCGTCCTTAAAGATCGTTTGCGGTCGTAACATCTACTGTCATACTTCACTACCGCATGTAATGCTTCCCAAGTCGTTCATTACTATCATCTATTATTAGAAACTAATATCTCTTACAAGTTCTGAAAATTCATGTTATTAACAGTATTCCCTGAATATATTTTGGATATTTCTAACGACTCTCACTTTGTCCAAGTGGTAGAGTGTGGACTAAATAATGCAACAATGAGCCGAGCCAGTGAGCTGCTGAAGCGCGTTCGAGATCCCCACAGCGCTAACAGGATCTGAAAAAGTGCGCCCGGTAAAGTACACTACTTCCCAATTATTCAGTCAACGTCTGTCTCAATGTCAGATAACTGTAAAACTGTGTAACTCTGACACGTGGCATGGCAGAGACAGTCAACGTCTGTCTCAATGTCAGATAACTGTAAAACTGTGTAACTCTGACACGTGGCATGGCAGAGACAGTCAACGTCTGTCTCAACGTCAGATAACTGTAAAACTGTGTAACTCTGACACGTGGCAAGACAGAGACAGTCAACGTCTGTCTCAATGTCAGATAACTGTAAAACTGTGTAACTCTGACACGTGGCAAGGCAGAGACAGTCAACGTCTGTCTCAATGTCAGATAACTGTAAAACTGTGTAACTCTGACACGTGGCAAGGCAGAGACAGTCAACGTGTCTCAATGTCAGATAACTGTAAAACTGTGTAACTCTGACACGTGGCATGGCAGAGACAGTCAACGTCTGTCTCAATGTCAGATAACTGTAAAACTGTGTAACTCTGACACGTGGCAAGGCAGATACAGTCAACGTGTCTCAATGTCAGCTAACTGTAAAACTGTGTAACTCTGACACGTGGCAAGGCAGAGACAGTCAACGTGTCTCAATGTCAGATAACTGTAAAACTGTGTAACTCTGACACGTGGCAAGGCAGAGACAGTCAACGTCTGTCTCAATGTCAGATAACTGTAAAACTGTGTAACTCTGACACGTGGCATGGCAGAGACAGTCAACGTGTCTCAATGTCAGATAACTGTAAAACTGTGTAACTCTGACACGTGGCATGGCAAAGACAGTCAACGTGTCTCAATGTCAGATAACTGTAACACTGTGTAACTCTGACACGTGGCATGGCAGAGACAGTCAACGTGTCTCAATGTCAGATAACTGTAAAACTGTGTAACTCTGACACGTGGCATGGCAGAGACAGTCAACGTGTCTCAATGTCAGATAACTGTAAAACTGTGTAACTCTGACACGTGGCATGGCAGAGACAGTCAACGTCTGTCTCAATGTCAGATAACTGTAAAACTGTGTAACTCTGACACGTGGCATGGCAGAGACAGTCAACGTCTGTCTCAATGTCAGATAACTGTAAAACTGTGTAACTCTGACACGTGGCATGGCAAAGACAGTCAACGTGTCTCAATGTCAGATAACTGTAACACTGTGTAACTCTGACACGTGGCAAGGCAGATACAGTCAACGTGTCTCAATGTCAGCTAACTGTAAAACTGTGTAACTCTGACACGTGGCAAGGCAGAGACAGTCAACGTGTCTCAATGTCAGATAACTGTAAAACTGTGTAACTCTGACACGTGGCAAGGCAGAGACAGTCAACGTCTGTCTCAATGTCAGATAACTGTAAAACTGTGTAACTCTGACACGTGGCAAGGCAGAGACAGTCAACGTGTCTCAATGTCAGATAACTGTAAAACTGTGTAACTCTGACACGTGGCATGGCAAAGACAGTCAACGTCTGTCTCAATGTCAGATAACTGTAACACTGTGTAACTCTGACACGTGGCATGGCAGAGACAGTCAACGTGTCTCAATGTCAGATAACTGTAAAACTGTGTAACTCTGACACGTGGCATGGCAGAGACAGTCAACGTGTCTCAATGTCAGATAACTGTAAAACTGTGTAACTCTGACACGTGGCATGGCAGAGACAGTCAACGTCTGTCTCAATGTCAGATAACTGTAAAACTGTGTAACTATGACACGTGGCATGGCAGAGACAGTCAACGTCTGTCTCAATGTCAGATAACTGTAAAACTGTGTAACTCTGACACGTGGCATGGCAAAGACAGTCAACGTGTCTCAATGTCAGATAACTGTAACACTGTGTAACTCTGACACGTGGCATGGCAGAGACAGTCAACGTGTCTCAATGTCAGATAACTGTAAAACTGTGTAACTCTGACACGTGGCATGGCAGAGACAGTCAACGTGTCTCAATGTCAGATAACTGTAAAACTGTGTAACTCTGACACGTGGCATGGCAGAGACAGTCAACGTCTGTCTCAATGTCAGATAACTGTAAAACTGTGTAACTCTGACACGTGGCATGGCAGAGACAGTCAACGTCTGTCTCAATGTCAGATAACTGTAAAACTGTGTAACTCTGACACGTGGCATGGCAGAGATAGTCAACGTCTGTCTCAATGTCAGATAACTGTAAAACTGTGTAACTCTGACACGTGGCATGGCAGAGACAGTCAACGTGTCTCAATGTCAGATAACTGTAAAACTGTGTAACTCTGACACGTGGCATGGCAGAGACAGTCAACGTCTGTCTCAACGTCAGATAACTGTAAAACTGTGTAACTCTGACACGTGGCATGACAGAGACAGTCAACGTCTGTCTCAATGTCAGACAACTGTAAAACTGTGTAAGGGAAAAGTGGAGCATGATATGAAATATCGAGTTGTCTCCCTTAGACCAGCAAAGTCAATTCGTCAAACAAACATTTCCATTCACTTCATGATTGGCTTGGGTAGAATGATATATCGACTATCTTTTACCATATCATGTCACTGTCGTTGTGTATAATATATTTCATAACATGTACATTTAAAACATAAGGAAAAAAAGTAATTCACATGTATCATGATACGGGATCATTGTGGGACCATCTGACCTTTTGATTTAAAGTCGTGCCAGAAAACCTTTAATCCTGAGTTCAGTGTTTTGAGTGGGTTACCGATCTGAATTACGGAATCACCGAACAAAATATGGCGCTGTGTATACTCAAGCAGTTTGTTTTCACTGTAATACTTCACTCGAACATATGACAGGCATTGAAAGCATATAAGCACGACAACTTGGTAAGCTTTGCAAGGCTTTCGCTCTACATCGGGCGTCACCATTATGACGTAATATCGCTCATTGTGACGCAAAATCTATGACGTCACAGTCGCATATAGAAAAGCGCCAAAATTCCAAGCTCTCTGATGTCTTCAAA